TGACGGGATCGGTTTTTAAAACATTAATAAGATGATACATAATCTAATATAAAAATTACGTGTATTGAAAAAGACTTTCTAAAATACTGACTTATTACAAACTGTTATGTCGTGTGTTATGAGAAATTTCTGTCTAACCATCTAATTACAAACTGTTATGTCGTGTTATGAAAATGTTTATTAGACTATCTTTATTCGATCTTTAAGATGAAGGGTTAGAGCTCCCATCAACCTTTGAAACAGAAAATATGTATATTTTATTATTATATATCTGGTTTGGTTAATGTTAGCTTTTATAATTGACTATTTACTTCTATTATATAACTGGTTTTTTAAATGTTAACTTTTATAATTTGCCTATTGACTTCTTATTATATAAGATGGTTTGTTAGTTGCTATTTGCTAAATCAAATCTAAGGCTTATTCCTCACTTAATCGCTCCGTCATGTTGCTAATTGTTGTAACCGAAGAAGAAAAAGAAAAACATTATCTATTCATTTTCTTAGATTTATACATAATACATTCCCCTATTGATAAAAGGACACTTTGAGAAACCTACTTCTACTCGCAGCATGACTTGCGAGTTGCGACTTCGAATAATAAACACAATTCTGATGATTTTTTTAAGGAAAAAATTGGAAACATATATTTAGTATAATGTGGAAACTTATATTTATATTATGACATTTCCTAAGTATCTCCTTTTAAGTCATTGAATTTTTATTTCACATCGAGAACATATAATGAATAATGTAAGCAAATTCTTCTCATCCACACTAATCAAAGCAAACCACCAAAAGCATCGTTATTTTTTATTTTTTATTTTTATAAAAATGTTTGATCAAATTTGATTCGAATTAGTTGGATACGTTATGAGCCTCTGTTATTGGTTGAATGGAATGACTTCTGATGAGTCTTGTGACAATAAACACCTATAGATGTTGGAATACTTGGAGTTCACATATCCTTGATCATCTTCTAAATAACTTACAATAACAAATTCAGTACAAATATATATAATGGTCATGAAAAGATACCTTCAATCTTTGTTCTGCTTCAGACTTTTGGCTAAGCTGATGAGATGAGATTCAATGTTCGACTTTCAAGTAATCGAGACAATTAAAGACACTGGACATCTAATGTTCAATTAAAAGATTGAACATCATTGACAATTAGAATTTGCACTATATGAATATATACCCCATCTATATTCTTTTTCAGGGGACAAAATCATCTCTACTGTTTTAAGACAAAGCCTCATTAAGCTACCAGATCATGTATAAGCAGTTTAAACTCATTCAAGAAAAATATGAGTCATGGAGTCATTGCCAATCTTAATCACTGTATGAGTGTTGAGTTCATGCATATCCTTAATCCTGTAGTTACAAAGAAATGATGCGACGGGAGCTGGTAGATATGTATCAACAATGTTTTCGATTTCTTTTTACAATTAGAAGGAGCTTCACTAGTCCATCCAGTTTCACATTCGTATTGCTCGTAAACAAAAGTGCAATCAAGGAGAAGACTAGAGCTACATAATTTCCAGAGAAGGTCAATTTGAAGAAAATATATTGACATATCAAATCATGGTGGAACAGCTAAACTAAAAATTCCTTACCTACGGCTATCACGGCAGTTAAGGATGATTGCAAAAGAATCAGCTTGAGAAGATAAAATCAAGTACAACCTGATCGATTTCAAAACAGTGTAAACCCAAAATTTGACAAATAAATACGAGCATAGAGCAAAGGAATAAAGCACAACAACATAATGTTGATGTTGGATCTACACCCTCAAATAACGATATTTATACAACAATGGTAGAATAACAAGGGAGAAATAACTTATATTAACTAGTAATTGTATTTATTATGATCCGGAGGAATCATATCAAAACTAGACAAGGTATGCTTGGAACTTTGAGACCAAATCTGTAGAGAAAGCATATCAAATGATCAGTAGACCTAAAAAATCTTCCAAACAATCAACTTGATGATATAACCAAAATTGATAAAAGCAAGAGGATAGTGAAGGCAAAAGCTTGCAACTCCAATAAAAATCATATAAACATAAATTTTAATGCTACGCACTCCAGATTCCGGCCCATAAACTAAGAATTCCTGAACAAATCAAGAAAAGAAGAAGTAGAGCATCCTAGATGCACTGCTTCAAAGAATTTTAGAAAGTAAATAACAAGCTTTCAACAAGAGTGAAAAATGCTGACGTTGGAAGACTGATAAACCAGAAAAGAAAAATATTTGTACTACATGTTTGATGGTAAAAAGCCATATCCAAAAAAGAGTAATTGAACCACATAGAAGGTTGGCTGCAGAAGAGGTAAAAATTCTTCCAGAAAGGAAAACCAATAAAACAACAGAACCAGTAAACGTCTGCAACTACAGTTGATAGAGTTCAAGGTCAATTTACAGTAATAATCTATAATGACTCGATATACAAAGCCCTTGAAATGCACCAAACAAAAATGATGAACTGAATAAAATACAACTTAAAAACATGCTCTGCAAAGCAGCTCTTTAGTTAATATCAGTTGTATTTTACTTCAAATTTGAGCAATTGATTGCATATGGCTTTCAGTTGCAATAACACACAAAATGCCTCGTTCATCAATACAAAAATAAATATAGAAAACCAATTAACATATATCCTTCAGACAGTGATACATGACATAACAGATATGGTATCAGACAGCAATTTGAGTGCTGACGCAAATTTTAGGGCTTGTACCAAGCACAACTGAGTCAAATAATTTTCGTTTGAACACTAATAGACTTAAGAATGTAATCTTCATTCTTTAGCCTAAAATTTCAAAAGGTTCGCTTTAGAGTCTATTTAAGAAATTTATAATGCTATAAGTTCTAACCTTTCCCACCGCCTGGCAGCTTTTTCTACTTTTGATTGTTCATTTAAGTCACTGTAATGCACTAAAGTGAGTCCTTGGCTACGTTAATCCGTAAAAGTTTGAAATACTAAAAATACCCCTAAAAAATTCATGAACCCCTACAGATTTAAAATGTAACAAAAACCCCCTAGAACTTGAACCGGACAGAAGAGGTTGCCAGTTCCCGGTCCGACCAGCCAGTCCAATTTGATTTTTAGAACATTAATCTTATCCCATTTACTATTATACTGTTACATATTAATACAAAATCTGCACATCTAAGTGATTATAGAAGATCTCGCACATGAACAAGTCCCATTGAAAAAGCATCATTGAAATTAAAAACGAAAAAAATACAAGTCACAAGTGTATTTACCATGACTATTCTCCAAATCACAAATATACTAATTAATAAAAAAGGTTTCTATTGTAAACGAAAGCATTAAATTCTTAAGAGTAGAATCTCAAGATTCTAATGCCAAAGTAATGCATCATGTAATCCTGCATAAGATCTGAACTTGAACTCTTGTCAATTAGCTTTTCAGGATACAGCTTGAAAATTATGGTATTAGTCTCAAATTAGCTTTGCTATCTCTATTCTGAAGTTATCCCAAGAGGCCATCCATGATGTGATCACAATCTTGCTTATCCATTTCCAAGGCATCAGATCTGTGATTGTATTGACTCAGAGCATTTTTAGATATTCTCGATGATTCCGCAAGACTCCTGGCTTGTTCCTCTAAAGAAGCAATACATTCATTTTCTGTTGAAGTTGAAGTTGTCAATGCTCATCAACAAATGCAAGAAACTTATCCCTTTGATCTTGACAGAGAGATGCTCAAATCCCATGAGGCAGCAGCGACGAATAAACTCTTTTGCGACACTGATCTCAGCAACGAATGTAGGAAAGAAGCAGTTTGGATAATCTAATATACAGACTAATACACACAAGAAGGGCCTGGAAAATTTACCTGCAACATCTATTATATCATTTCAGCAGCAAGCAATTCCATGGCCTTCAAGATTAGAGCCAGGATTTTCAGTTGTTCAGAGGGCTGGCTCAAGTGAGCCAACATCATGCTCTTCTTCTATTTTACTGTCCTCGTGGGCAGGTTCAGGATCTTGAGTGTCTGCAATTACTTCCGGAATCTATTCAATAACCACAGTTGTTCTGATGGAATCTCAAGCAGCAACAAGCTGTTCTTGTTCTTGACAATAGTATACCAAAATGAGGGCTAAGGATCAATTACATTTTGAAACACAATTGAACATACTTTAGATTGAAATTTTCAGTTCCCTTTTACTGGTCCTTTCTTTCAAACATTCCAATGATTACTTTCTCCTTACACAAACAATTGTTTTCAGTTCACTAATAGTCTAATTTTGTATGAAAAACTACATCATCGAAAGGATATTCTTCCACGCAATTCCTTTCATTTGCTTGATTAATGCAATTTTGTAACGAAACCAGCCCTCTAGCAATCCACTATTTGGCATCCATGAAATGAAAAGGAGAGCAAAGAAGTCAAAAGCAAGCAAAGAAATATGAAATATAACAGATTCAAATACGCCATAACAAAAAACACAATACAAGGCTTCAGAAATAATGCATGTTCAATGGTTCTGGTTCATTCAGCACAGCCCCAGAATTATATACTCTCAAATTAGTGAATCCTAATTTTGGATTTTATATGTAAAATACATACATGTTTTGTTATATCCTCATGTAGAATGCTAGCCTTCTGGTCAAGCTCCACCTGCATTCACCCTATTCTAATTAAGGTTGTCTATGATATTTTTAAAATTATTTTACTTAACTAAATGGCACTTCTATGTATGCAGAAAGCCTGTAATATTGTCAACACTTACAACAGTTGACCATTTTAGCAAGCCATCTTTCATTCTCTGAAACAAATCCTCACATTCTTCCTGCAAAAAATACTACTAGAGTAACTATTTGCTTTGCAAATAAATCATCACTGGAAACCTTTTGGCAAAAAAAGTTGAAAAATCAACATTTTGTCACTCTTATACAAAACTAGTTTTCTAGCTTGCCCTANATTTCAGTAATCTGATGTCTTTAACATTTTTCTTCAGCTTCACACAAAGGACTTGGAAGATGTCCAAACCATGGAGGAAACTAGAGTTGCATCTTGTAAACCTTATCAAATATGGGCTCTATTTCTGGCACAAGGATGTGCCGCTTTATTATAGGATAAGATTATGTGATATAACCATCTGTTACCTAATGGCTCAGTTTTGTGGGGAAAAGGAGTTATGTGTGGGAACAATCGAAATAGATATTCTTTATATGAATAGAACCTAGAATATATTTACATGCACTTATTTTTTTGGCTAATTTTTTTCCTCCACTATTTTTCCGCACTAATGAAATTTGCCTAATTTTGTTTAGTTGGTTGCACAGAAGGGAGACCAAGCTCTGAACAGAAACTTTAACCACCAGAACAGTTCAACACTGTATTACAAAGGTTGGTTTTTATTTCCCCCCCAGTCAGCACTATCATCATGCAAATTTTCATAACTGTCATTTCAATTTTCCTTTTCTCCTGTTTTGTGTTTTATGAGCTTGTAAGTTTCTTGATGCATTTTTATTTTCTTTAAGACCAGTACTTGGATTCTGTTTGTGGTTTAATTTAGACTGTTGAACAACCAACTCCCCAGCCATCCCCACCTCCTAAAAAGGCTATATTTTGCATCCAACTTACAAATTATTTTGAGAAGCTTGCAAAATTGCATGGTACTAACATGGATACTTTTGCAAGTATCTATGTTAGATGCTGTGCTTCTTAATAATTCTCTGTACATATGATGAATTCATTACAAATTTATCATTGGAATATGATTGAATGACCAAAAAGTTAAAAGATACTAATCAAGTATGGTAAGTAATAGAACTCTTCACTTTGAAATTTAATCTCTCTAGTGTCCATTGGTGATCCAAAAGGCCCGAGGGCGTAGCTTTAAAGTAATTTAGTTAGTTTTAGTGGTTTTGAAATTAATCCTGCATATCTATGCTCTAGTGTTTGGCAAGGTTAATTGTCATTTCTCTTCTGTAATTTTATATGTCTTAGTGATGCTGGTGTTGCCAATGTTGATGGCGTTAAGGATACAAATGGGACTACACAACTGTGTGACTCTAAAATAAGTGAAACTGCTCAAGGTAAGATTTAAAAACCCGCATGTTTTAAATTGTATGGACCATTTATTGATTTTACTATGTATTAAGAGTTTTCCATTGTAATGTCTTTGTGGGGTTAAAGGGTAATGTTGGGGTGTGATTCTTATTCTGGTTTGTCGGTTGAGGGTTTAAAGCTCATCTTGTCCCTGAATGCAATTTCAGATGTAGGATTACATGACCAAAACTGTTTAGCATCAAAAAAGATTGCTGGACAAGGTGGCTCATTTACCCCTAATGGTTTCCCTCCTTCAGGATCTTGGTAAATGCTTGTTGATACCCATTACTTGCCCATTTTCAATGTCAAATTGTGTAAATTAAATTTTAATAAACTGTTATCCTCTACTTCAGTTTATCCGCTGGACAGGATAGAGAACAAAATGACCGGCCGTCTGATGCGAATCAGAATCCAATTGGTTCAGGCCGTGACAAAGTTACTCCTAGTGTTGCCAGGGGGAGACCTGTGCATTTTTTAGTGAAGCTTCGATTGAAGTACCAATTACATGTGAAATCAATTGCACTAACACTGGCTCTGAAAACAGTTCAAAGCGCAGTGTAGCAGGCAAGATAAGTGATGCCACGGAGAAGCAACCGGCAAGGAAACTAACCAGAATTTTCATGGTGGTTTTTGTTAGAATTTTTTGAATGATTGAGAAGTATTAACTATTGTTCATAGTTAATTTTCCAATCATCTAGGTATTAGATTTTATAGATGTAAAAGATGTTGGGTGCCTACTTATTAGGCACATATGCAAACTTATTTTTCAAAATGTGATGAAAACTTCCAATTACTTTAGCATCAAATTTCTCTGCTTGCTTTAGTAACTCCTCCACTAAACTCTTCCTCAAGTAGACAAGTTTGATGTTTTTCGAGACTCTAGACGCGAAACAACTTTTTTGCACAACAACAACTGATCCTGAGGAAAATCATGTCATGGAAGAGGGATTTTAGTTTTGAGCCTCTTCTCGCTCTGCTATTTATTATACATAACACAAAAAAAAAAAAAAAGAAAAAAGAAAAAAAGCATCTATGATATTATAGGATTGTCATATCATCCGTAACATGTCAATATTAAATAAAACACCATTGATATGAGATGCTTGGGTGGATTTTAATCTATCTACCCATGGGAATGTGTCAACACACGAGGCTTAGTCCATCAAGTTTGAGTTGTTTCTTACCTAAGCTAGAATGAAAGAAGTTATAGCTAACCAAAAAGCAATACAAGCCAACCGATTTATATGAGTGATCAAATGCATAATCTTTTTTGATAAATTTTACAGACCTAAACAACTGAATTTGGAATCAATTTGTAATGATTTTAAAAAGATTTTTATCTATTTGTTTTTCAAAATTTTGTAACAGTGCCATATTCAATATGTCACAAGAACTGGAAAACTAAAAAGTTTCACCAGTAGAATAATATTATTTACATAACATCTCAAATATAGTTTTCTTACACCCACTGCAGTATACACCAATATTTCTATTTTCTCTCTAATGAATCTCTTACTGTACACAAAATTTGATGACAGTAATAAATTACAGGATCCAATCAATTACATAAACTTTTTCTAGCAAGTGTAATCAAACAATGACCATTAAAGACCTTTATGCGCTTTATCATCTGGTGCCTTTAGAAGGCAAGCAACTTTACAGTACCCAACATGATATCTATACAGAGATTCTTCGTTCACTTCTGGTTTCATCTCATTTTTAGAAGGTTTCAGCCTTCTTAGAGCCCATTGCATTGCCCATATGGCCATCGGACACATGTAACATGGTACTCTTAAACCATCACCAATAGTCCAAGCTTCTGGAGTTTGGTCAGAGTAACTACGAAGAATACAGCAATATGTCAGTGAAGCAGGAACAAATAATTCTGGCGCAGATAATTGTCAGTGTAATTATGCAGAATGGATAGTTTCCTATTGGAATCGGAAGAATATATCCTAAAGGGAGTAACCTGGAGAGTAAAAATACTATCTATTAGACATTTTTACTACCAGAGTTTTGTCCAACAATTTTCACCACCACAAATCTACAAGTAAATGGTTAATCAGCACATCCACCAATTTATGTCTACAATAAATTTTAATACCTGACAAAACCAATGATGCAATGAAATCTATAAACATTTCAAACTGATTTAGATCTAGAAAACAGACTTATAGCATAGTTAAAAGCCTATTAATGGCAAATGGCTAGCACTATGCCTTGTCCTTCAAGGTTTAAAAAGGTAACACCGTTATATAAGATAAAGGGGATCTTACCCAAGTCCATTTTTAGACCACGCTGCTTCATAGATTCCACTGACAGTTTGAAATCCCATATCAACCAAATCTTCATGGATCATCGTTACAATAACTGCATGTATCAGGGCAAAACATATTTCTCTTGACAGCAATGTTCTCATGTCAACTGCATTCTTCGTATGGTGACAATCATAGAGTCTTTCTGCAGCTGGCTGAGGCTTTTGCTGTTTCATATTTCAATGATGTCAATAATGCTCTCCTGACAAGGATACTGCTCTGAAAAAGTGAACCACTCCATAAATTTTTATTATGAAAACTTCAATTTCGCTTTTGGACCAGAAATTGAAGAAGCTGGTTCAAACATTCATGATAATTTTCGGCCTTCATTAGTAATTGCATGACTAAGGACATTGTACATTCAGTCGGCTTCACATTTCTCTCCGCCATCTTATGAAGGAGTTCAACAACTTTTGGTATCTTATTATACTTGAGGAAACTGAACATTAGGGTATGAAACGTGATTACATCTGGAGCACAACCTTTTTCCTCCATATGTGACAACAACTCATTTGCCTTTTCTAGTTGTCCATTTTTACAAAGCATATTGATTAAGACGCTATAAGTGACTACGTCTGGAGTAGTTCCCGAACTCTTCATTTCGAAATACAAGTCTATCGCCTTCTTAACTAATCCAACCTTCCAAAGACCATCGATTATAGTAGTATAAGTAACAACATCTGGCCTACAAATAACACCAGATTCTTCATTTCCCTCAGCCAATTCTTCAAGCAACTTAATGGCAGGACTTATCTTCCCTGTTTTACACAATCCATTGATTAAAATGTTGTAAGTACGAACGTTAGGAACCACACCTCTCTGAATCATAAGCTCCAACAACCTATTTGCTTCGTGCAATTTCCCTTTCTTGCAACGTTCATCTATGAGCACATTAAACGTCACCACAGAAGGCTTCACACCTTGATCTATCATTTCAATAAATAAACTTCTACCTTTCTCCCAATCACCCACACAACAAAAACCATGAATTAGAGTGTTATAAGTGACTGTGTCTGGACTGACTCCAGAACCCTTAATTTCCAAAAACAATTTTCTAGCCTTCTCAATTAATCCAGCCTTACAAAGACCATCAATTATAATAGTATAAGTAACAACATTTGGCCTACAAATAACACCAGATTTTTTATTCCCATCTACCATCTCTTCAAGCAACTTAATGGCAACACTTATCTTCCCCGTTTTACGCAATCCATCAATCAAAGTGTTGTAACTGATCACATCAGGCCTACAACCAACAGCAATCATTTTCTTAAACAATTCCATCGACTCCACAATCTTTCTCTCTACACACAGACCTTTGATCAAACAATTAAAAGTCATAGCATCAGGGCCGAAACCCTTCTTCAAAATCTCCCCCAAAACGGCAAAACCATCAGAAACCCTTTCAATCTCACACAAGCAATCGATCAAAACGGTCAAATACAATAAATCTGGAGACAACCCAGTTGAATTCAACCACTTATAAAGAGAAATCACTTCATAATAATGCTTCTTCTTTGCCAGTGCAATAAACAAAGTAGTGAATGATGAAATTGGAGAGATGGGTTGCGAATTAATCATGTAATGAAAAAAGTTCAATGCTTCATTCAGAGTAAAGTTACCTGATCGACAGTTTTCTTTGAGGAATTTAGCAAGTGAGGATCGTTCTAGGGGTTTTTCGAAAGAATACAAAACTTCATTGTTGGAGCTTGAAGTTGTGAGGTTGTGCAAGTGAGCTAACAAAGATGAAATATTAACTTTCAGAGATGGGTTTTGAGAGATTGAAGGCGAACGAAATGGGGATCCCAAAGCCATGTATGAAGAGCGTTTTCCAGGTTCAGGGTTGGATGGTTGCTTTTCGGTTTCAGGGGGCTTTACTTTTTAAATTCCAAAATTATCCAGTTGACCAAACCACCTAAAGTATCTTGCTATTGAAATTTGAATTTAATTTACAATAATATTAAAAATGTTTTTTTTTTTTATTTGTTCTTCAAAATTTTAAATATATCAAAATTTATATTTCATATAGACGAATGTGATATATTAAAAATTAAAGATATTGGTTTTACTTTTTAGAAGTTATATGAATAATTTTTTCATATCACATTAACAAGATTATCAAGCTAATTAGGTTTGTTGAGATATTTATATTATTAAAATAATATTATGTATAATTAATTATGACTATTAATTTTATATTATATAAAAAAGTTATATTGACGATCTTAAAGTTTGATATAATAAAAATAATCTAATTTATAAAATAACAAAAATCTTTACTGTTAAATTATAAAGGTTAAAATAATATAACGAGAATTATAAAAGATTAATTTCTAATTATATTTTTAAGCGAGAGACTAATAGTTTATCAATAATAAAGAGAATTTTATTATTTCAAAAATCTTAAGAGAATTTATATAATTATAGTAAACCTCAAAACAGTTGACTTGATGTTTTTAACTCTTTATGATATTATTATAATGTTCCACATTATTTTATCGGTTTATAATTTCTGTTATGAATATGTTTCCAATAACATTGTAGTCCCTGTTATGACCCTAACTGCTTACAAATTTCGAAACAATGATAACCATTTGCAAGAATTGAATAACTGATGGTAGAACAATTATAATTCGCATAGGCATTTCAAATGTTTTCTTATACAGCTCATTATTATAAACAAATTGGATGATAGTAATAAGTTACAAGAACCAATCAATTATATAAACATTCTCTTGACAGTGTGATAAAGGAGTGACTGTAAAAGATCATTAAACATTTTATCATCCAATACCTTTAGAATGCAAGCTAGGGGTGGGATAAATAATCTGAAACCGAACCGAACTGGTAACCGATCCGAAACCAAACAGAAAATTAGGTTTTTTTGCAAACCGGTTTGGTTTTCAATTCACAAAATTCAAAAAATTAGAAAACTGGTTCGGTTTTCGGTTTGGAATATTTTCCAAACCGGTTTTACCCTAACTATATAAGCAAATTTTTTTTTTTTTCACTCAGATGATCTACTTCTCTATTTCTCCAGTCTTCTCTGCCTTCAAGTCTCCACACTTCCACAGTGCACAGTGCACACTCCATCCACACCTTGAGCAGACTCCAATACTCCACTCTTCATCGTCACTCCACTGTCCAGTCACCAACACCTAGCAGACTCCACTCCATCTCCATTCTTCATTTCTTCGGACGTTCACCAGCACCCAGTGGACTCCACTTTCCAGTCACACCATTGTCCCACTGTGAGCAGACTCCACTCTCCCAACAGTCTCCACCGTCCACACTTCACAGTCTCTGATCGTAGCACTTTGCCAGCACACAGCAAGGCCACGCCGCTAGCAACAGTCTCCACAACAACCACCCAGCACCCACTCACCCAACAGTCTCCACCATTGCTGCTAAGTGGTAAGATCCGAACACTTACAATTACATTCTCTACTAGTTGTCTATCTTTGTTTGTCTATCTAATTGATGATTGGCCTGTATTGTGAGCTCAATGTGGGTGAATTCGGTTCCTTTTGTGGCAGTAGGAGGCAGTTTTTGGAGTGTTGTGGTCATTTTGAATTCGGCTTTTTTTGGCTGTTGTCCTTGCCCCGTGTTGTTTGTTGGTATAATGGGTTCTTTGGGTGATCTTGCCTGCTGTAGGTTCTTCTTCTGGGCTGTTGGGTTTTTGGCAGTTTTTTCCTGGCTGTTTGTTCTGTTTTTTGTTGACGTAAGGCCTTGGTGGATGGTTTCTTTGCTGGCTATTCTGGTGTCTTGTTTGCTGCGGTCTGTGAGTTGGTTTATGGCTGTAAATTTTTTGTTTTGTTTTCTTTGTTTGGTGATTATATAAAACTGAGTTTAGGACGAAATTGATAAATTTCCTAGGAGGAGCCATTAGTTTATTGATGGGGTGGATTAGAGTATCCTGAAATGATTCTCGATTGTAATGAATTGTCTGGTAATAGTTATTATGTTAAGTTTATGTTATCAAGATCGGTGTTTAATAAGTTGTAGTTGAATTATATATGCCTATAATATCTCACATCATTGGAATTTGTTAAGATACAGAATTGATCAAAATTTTAAATAATTAGTAATTGTTACAAGAATTTGGACCCTAATAACATTTTTGTTAAGTTTTCAAAGATATATTGACACAGACACAGAATACCTATACATAATTTAATGTCAAGATTTTATCTTTTTCACCCACCAAATCAAATATGGTCTTCCAATTTCATGAGTTTTTTATTTTTTATTTTTCCGTGGAAGGGCTAGAAAGCACTCTAACCACCAAGATGTAATCAATTTATGGGTTTATCAAGCTACCGCTATACTACGTCTACACCTGTGCTTTTATTGTGTTTTATATATTTGATTGATTCTTTCAAAGCTCAAGTAGTAATCATCCAAAAACTATAGCCAAATTTTTTAGTTATTGTCAATAAATAAAAGAATATGATTTATATGGATGTCTTATTTACTTAATGCATAGTTTTATTTGATGGAATTGTAGATGTCATCGGCCGCGGACAATACTCGTGAGACACCAACAAGTATGACTCCACCTCCAACTCCAAATTCCAGGCCACCACCAACACCTTTAGCTCCCAAACGTGCAAGGGAAACAAGTTCTAGGAAGAATAGTTCTCAAGTGTATGATCACTTTGTTAAGAGTGATTGTGAGAATAAGGATGATTTAACTGCGACATGTAGTTACTGTGGGAGTGTTCTAGCATGTCCGAGTCAAGGTGGTACGAGTTGTCTACGTAACCACTTAAATAGATGCAAAAAATATCCTCCAAATGTGGTAGACAAGAGACAGAAGACCTTAATTTTTCAACAAGGATTACGTGATCTCTCAAGCGACATTGCTCTCTCCACACAATCTTCATTGGTCTCATGGAAATATGATCCAGATCTGATTAGAGAGGCTATAGCAAAAATGATCATTGTTGACGAGGTACCTTTTAGTTTTGTGGAGCGTGAGGGGTTCCGCAACGTGATGAATGTGACACAACCTAGGTTTCAAGTACCTTGCCGGAGAACCATGACTAAAGATTGCTTTAAAATATATATTGGAGAGTGCCAAAAGTTGAAGAAGTTTTTCAATCAGTTTTCGCACATAGTTTTTCTGACGACTAATACATGGACAAACATTCAAAACCTTAATTACCTTAATTATATGTGCCTTACTGCGCATTTCATTGATGATCATTGGTAGCTACAGAAAAGAATTTTAAATTTCTGTTTAATCACTAGTCATAAAAGTATAATGATTGGCAAGGCAGTTGAGAGGTGTTTGCTTGATTGGGGTATTTATAAGGTATTCACAATCACAGTAGATAATGCTAGTTCTAATGATGTTAGGGTAAGCTATCTCAAGACTAGACTAGCAAGTTGGAAGGGAAGTGTATTGGACGGTGATTTTCTACACATGAGATGTTGTCATATTTTGAGTTTAATTGTAAAAGAGGGATTAAAGGAAATGGATGACTCCATATTTAGAATAGGTTCAGCAGTGAGGTATGTAAGGTCTTCTTCAGTAAGGTTACAGAGATTTAAGGCGTGTGTGGAGAAAGAAAAAATTGCAAGTAAAAGTCATTTGGTTCTTGATGTAGAAACCCGGTGGAACTCTACATACTTGATGTTGGAAGCGGCATTAAAATTTCAGAAAGCTTTTGAGTTGTTGGCATTGGAAGATAGCAAGTATGCAGATGAACTTACTAGTGGTGATAGGTCACGAGGTTTGCAATACTCCGTATTTTCTTTGTGGGTTTTATTTAATTTTATTTATGTGAATCTAAGGGGTAATATGTAAGAATTGAAACTTTTTAAAGATGTTTTTGTAAGAAATAAGGCATAGTGGGTTTATTAAGTAGTTTTGCAAGAGCACTTGTGTGAAATTGGAAGTGTGAAAATCTTTCAACAACATTATGAAAGTGATTAAAGATGAGGGGTCTTTTCAATATTGTGTCATGCAAGGGCACATGCATAATTCTCCAGGGGTGAGATCATGATAAAAAAATAAACTTTGTTTAAAGGATTTTGGGGTGCAGGATGTAAGAATCAAAGACTAAGGGATGCATGCATAATTAGCCATTGCAAGATGGATTAAAGGCCCACGGTTTTGGCACATTGTTTTGCCATTGATGGTTGTGCAATTTTATTAAATTGAGATGAGGAATGGTGGAGTGGTGAAAGAGATAGCCGGGAGAAACAAAAAAATAAAGTGTGAGGAGAAGCTTGTTTTATTCTTTTTGTCTTTCTCATTTCACATTCATTCTCCTATGCACATTGAAAGAGAGAAAAATAACATTTGAGTTAAAATAGAGGAGGGCCGAGAGGTGCTTGTAGGAGAAGAATTTTCAGAGAAATTTTGGGATGAAAAAGATAGGAGGACCGAGCACTTGAGTTAAAAGCAAAGGAGAAAGTGTGAGTGAAATATTATTAAACTTGCATTTAAAATCATGTGTTGGTTGAAATGATCATATGCGTGTGCATACCCGGTTGATTGAGGTTTTAATTTAGTTCTTTAGTTTTTAATTTCTAATAAATTGAAGATGTCCGTGACATGCATGTGTTTGGAATTGAGAGTATGAAATTATGTTTATGAAAATATTGGGTAAATTGCTATTAAAAAGAGGTACTTATGCGTTGCATGTTACTTATAATTGGGTATGGTTTTTACATGAATTGAATGGTATATTGCATGTGCATTTCGGTTGCTGGAAAGGTGTATTAATGATATAATTTTGTTTAGTTGCATTATAAGATGTAATTGCATGCGTGGGAAGTCAGCTAATTAAATTGTGTGGAATGAATTGGAAGGTTGTGGGTTAGTTATAAAATTGACTTGATTAGAAACACAAATATGGGTGGATACTAAATGAATTTTGAATTTTATATTTGAATGTTTGTTAAGCTTTGTAATGAGTGGACGGCTGGAAAATTTGGGAAATAATGGGCATGAGACTGCTGGCCTATATTGTATAGAATGTGAACATTTACTTTGCCTAAAAGGTTAGAGATTGGCTGGATTCTTTTTTTTTTTTTTTTTTTTGGTGGTAATGGGTATGAAATCATGACCTGGAGGTTTACTTAAAGTATATATATTATATATTTTTGCTGTATTGTTGTTGCATTGTTGACTAGGTATTTTTGGAATCATCAGTGTAGTAATTGCTGCATTTTCATAAACTACAGACTTGATTAAACGTGATTGTTGAGTGGGAATGAGTGTTGGAAGTTGGTAAAAAAGTAGAATTGATATTAAGGTAGAATGGATATGAAGTTAATGAGATATTAAATACTATAAATGGTCCATTTTAATTTGGATATTGCAGAAAGAGTGTTGAATAAAAATGTTAGATTTTTTCTTATGGGCAGTAGGCTCTTGGCAGTAGGGGGTTAATTGTCGTGTTTAGAAGTTTTGGGACCTTAGAATTGATTATAAATATAGGGTGTAAATAGATTTTTACATACTTTTGTATTTTGATGTGGTGAGCATTGCATTCATGATTACATGCCTTTTATTGGAATTTTATATCATATTATACTTTATACATGCATAAGGCATGCATGATGCATATTTGGAATGAAATTGTGGATGCATGATTATTGTTATGTTTGACTCCCGCATTGGAAACCGTACCCATCCTCCCTCCAGACATCAGCTAGTATTTGACATTTATCCTCATGCGCGCATTGAGATGGTCCGTCCTACTGAACCATTGGGATATCCTACTAGAACAAGACGGACGCCTGACGAGCTCCGGTCGGGATTACACTAGGCGGTTATTGGCCGGTGTGGGGTTTTGGATGCCCCGAGGGTAGACTATGGATGGTGCCACCCCGAGGGTAGACTGCGGGTGGTGTAGCTTCATGTCTGAGTTAGGGACTGGTTTAGATAGTTATGATCCAGGCCCTTAAGTGCTAGTAGGGTGGTGATAATTGATTTATTTTATATGATAGTGGTGTGTGATTTCATGGCATCCGAGAGTAATATATATATACTGTTTGTTGCCTTATCATGTAAGTGCATTAGTGTTGTGTGGCATACAATTATTCATGCATGTTTTCAAAGTTAGAGTTATTTTCGTATAAAATATATTATCCGCTCACTGGGCTTCCCAGCTCACTGTTTTATGTTTCCTCCCCCAGGACCGTAGATCGGGTTCGTGTGGAGCATACTCTATGCTCTAGGTTGGCCTTGACTCATGATGATTTGCATCTTTTACAAACTTTAGTGGACTCTGATACTACGTTTCTTTTGTAACTAGATTTCAGTTCCTGTTTTTAGAATAATTATTTGTGTATTTCCACCTTCTAAACCTTAAACATGCAAATGCACTACTTTTCACTTTCATCTATAAACGGAATTGTTTTTATGAATGTTTTTTTTTTTTAAGAGTATTCACCTTCCTTTCGGGATCTTGAGTCTCCTGGAGCGCTCGGATCTAGTGGGATAGGGATACTCGGGAGGGGGCGCGACGAGGTTTGCCTATGAGTACTGATTGGGGGTATGCTCACTACTTGTTACCTTTCTTGAAAGTATTTTACGATGCTACTCTACGTGTCTCTGTGTCTCTTTATGTTACTGGTAATGCATACATGCGAGAGATTTTCAGTGTTGAGTTGAAGATTTCAACATGGTGTAAAAGTCCTGATCTTGGCTTACGTAATATGGCTACACGGATGAAAGTGAAATTTGATAAGTATTGGTCAAATGTTGATAATATCAACATTATGTTATTCATTGCAGAGGTACTGGATCCTAGGCACAAATTGGAATATGTGGACTAGGTAGTTAATGAGGCCTATGATGTTATTATAGCTAACAAGTTGATGAGAAAAGTGAAGGAAGCTTTGTTGTCTTTATTTGAGCAATACAGTTTGCTTATGGTGGATGACAATGAGCAGTCAAGTGAGAAATCTTAAGTTTCAATTGACATTGATGTGCATGATGCAATGTTGATAATGAGGACTTCATGAGGGTTATGTATAATGAGAAAAAGGCTACAAAGAAAGTTGTTCAGCATAAAACAGAGTTGGATAAGTATTTAGCGGACGATTGTGAGGATGACAATGACAAAATTTTTGATATCTTGAATTGGTGGAAGACTAATTCAACAAAATATGTCGTACTCTCTATGATAGCACGAGATGTGTTAGCTATGCCTATTTCAACGGTTGCATCTGAATTGGCTTTTAGTACAGGGGGTCGTGTATTAGATCCATTTCGTAGCTCCCTTACTACTAAGTGGGTGTTTGTCTGAGCTTATGAAAATTAGCTTAGAACCAATAAGTACTTATAAGCTAATTTTAGCTTATAAGCATTTGAAATTTTAAGCAATTACGTGTTTGGTTAAAGTACTTATAAGTGACTGATAAGTAGTTGACGTGTTTGGTAAAATGTGGCTTATAAGTACATTTTATTATAAAATGACTAAAAAAGGTACTACATTAAACAATGGTATACTATGAAATTTTAAAATTAAACAAGGATAATGTGGTAATATACTTAGTCAAACTAGCTTATAAGCAGAGTGTTTATAAGCCCCTTAACCCCAAAAAAAAGTACCTCCTCCCCAACTTATTTTTTTTTGGCTTATAAACTCAACTTATAAGCTCAAAAAAGTTATAAACAAACAGGCCAGCTTAATTTTAGAGCTTATAAGCAAGTTTGACCAGCTTATAAGCTTAGACAAACACCCCCTAAGATGGTAGAGGCTCTTATTTGTACACATGATTAGATTAGGAATACGCGTGGACCATTGACCATTGAGGCAAGCTTGGAGAAATTATCTAAAATTGAGTCAGGTGACATTTTTTGTTAACTTTCAGTTATAATTATATATTTTCCATCATTATTTATGATTTTAGATAACTTGTTTATCCAACTTTGTGTAGAGTTTTTCTCTTTGGGAGTGGAAAGTAGTCTAACTCATCTTGATGATTGAAGGGTATTCCAAATTTCCAATATATGAGGTATATTATCATTGATAATTAAATGGTTTAGGGGTTAGTTGGTTATGTTGGTTAAATTTTTTTAACAATTGTTGTGTTTATTTGTTGTGAACCGATCTTCGGGAGTAATGTGTAATTGAATTATACATTAAAGTTATCACAGTATATGCTTAATTTATGTCACCTCTGTGTAACCGCATTAAGGAAATTAAGCAGGCCAAGGCATTTGACATTGGACTAATAGGATTAGGATGTGACATATATAGTCCTCTTCATTAGTATTTTCTATTTCTTCATTACTTTGTTCAACTTTTAGTCTCACCTTATCCCATTAAAATCAGAATCCTTATGCGTACTTCTATTCTGGTGTTAATTTTGATGCAATATTTTTATAAATAAATAGGTTTTGACAAGCATGTTTAATATGCGTGGATTATGGTTAATATTATATATAGTTGTATATGTTAATAAGTAAGTTTTAATTTGATTTCACAATAAATATGCGTGGATTGGAGTGTAGGTAAATGGTGGAGGTTCACCTTTTATAATAAATCAATGATGTATATAATTTTTAGAACATTGTTATTAAGATTAACTCTCAAGCTTGATATACGAAACAATTCAATGTAAAATGTGATTGTAAAGTCATATAACTTTATGCATAACTTTACGTTAAATTCATTCTATTTTAATCAAACAATTTGTGAGTACCATATACAAATACAATCATGCCAAAACTGATATATAAATAATAATATTACACTCACATACTATTTTTATTAATTTTTTCGCACAAATACGACGTGTCAGTTTGTAATGGTCAGCTCGCAATGAATCCCACCTGACTAAATGTAAGCTACCACATCAGTGTTAGTAAAAGAAGTTAGTGAAAAGTGTTTGTCAGCCTATTTTTATTTATATATAAATCATCTTCCTTTCCTGTTAAATCAAAATATTTTCTTGTTTGCATCATACATAAAATTGATAATTAACTTAAGAATTTATATAATTGTATTCAGTAATTTATATGTAGTGATTAGTGAAAGAAAATCAAGAATTTCTCTTCTATAGTCATCTTAAATTTAAAACCCTTAGATGTATAGTAGTCATCATAATTTTAATTGTGTATATTAATGATAAACGTAATAGAAAAGTCATAAAACTTCATGGAAAATTAAAACTAACACTATTACATGCATAATTTCACGTAACATCCATTATTTTATTTCAATCTAATTTGTGGTATATAAAAATAACCCAAAACTTACTGTTAAATCAAAGCAATTTCCTATTGGAATTATACATAAAATTGATATAAACAAAGGAATATTCTAATTGACTTGAAAGACAACTCTAATGTAAACTGACAAAAAAGTATAATTTATATAGTCACACATATTCATCCTAACATTTCTCTTTAATTCATTGGCATTTTGCGATTTGCAATGACCTTACTCCGGAAAAAGTAAACCACCCACAAAAACACTTTTCATGCATGGCTTTGAGATCACCATTAACCATTTCGTTCGTCTTCAATCTCTCAAAACCCATCTCCGAAAGGTAACATTTATCTTTGTTAGCTCACTTACACAACTTCACAACTTCAAGCTCCAAAAATGAAGTTTTGTGTTCTTTCGAAATACCCCCTGAACGATCCCCACTTGCTAAATTCCTCAAAGAAAATTGTCGATCAGGTAACTTTACTCTGAATGAAGCATTGTACTTTTTCTATTACATGATTAATTTGCAACCCATTTCTCCCATTTCATCATTCACCACTTTGTTTAGTGCACTTGCAAAGAAGAAGCATTATTATGAAGTGATTTCGCTTTATAAGTGGTTGAATTCAACTGGGTTGTCTCCAGATTTAATGTCTTTGAACGTTTTGATTAATTGCTTCTGTAATATCAAAAGGGTTTTCGATGGTTTTGCGGTTTTTGGGGAGATTTCGAAGAAGGGTTTAAGCCCAAGTGCTGTTACTTTTAATTGTTTGATCAAAGGTCTGTGTGTAGAGGGCTAGAGAACTGTTTTTGGAAATGAAGGGTTCTGGAATTAATCCAGACACGGTCAGTTATCACACTCTAATTCATGGTTTGTGTTGTGTGGGTGATTGGGAGAAGGGTAGAAGTTTATTTATTGAAATGATGGATCAAGGTGTGCCGCCTTCTGTGCGAACGTTTAATGTGCTCATAGATGAATGTTGCAAGAAAAGGAAATTGGATGAAGCAAATAGGTTGTTGGAACTTATGATTCAAAGAGGTGTGGATCCCAATGTTTATACTTATAACATTTTAATGAATGGATTGTGTAAAACATGAAAGATAAGTGTTGCCATTAAGTTGCTTGAAGAAATGGCTAAGGGAAATGAAGAATCTAGTGATATTTGTAAGCCAAATGTTGTTCCTTATAATACTATAATTGATGGTCTTTGTAAGGCTGCATTAGTTAAGAAGGCAAGAGAATTGTATTTGGAAATGAAGGGTTCAGGAATTAGTCCAAGTGCAGTCACTTATAACATTTTGATCAATATGCTTTGTAAAAATGGACAACTAGAAAAGGCAAATGAGTTGTTGTCACATATGGAGGAAAAAGGTTGTGCTCCAAATGTATTCACGTTTAATACCTTAATGTTCGGTATCCTCAAGAATAATGAGATACCAAAAGTTGTTGAACTCCTTCATAAGATGGCGGAGACAAATGTTAGGCCGAATAAATGTACAATGTCCTTAGTCATGCAGTTACTAATGAAGGACAACAAATATTGTGAATGTTTGAACCTGCTTCCTTCATTTCCTGAATAAAAGCTAATTTGTCGAGTGTTTCACTTTTTTATAGCAGTATCCTTGTCAGGAGAGCATTATTTGACAGCATTGAAATGTGAAACTACAAAAACTTCAGCGAGCTGCAGAAAGGCTCTATCTTTGTTACCGTACGAAGACTGCAGTTGACATGACAACATTGCTGTCAAGAGAAAGATGTTCTGCCATCACACATGCAGTTGTTGTAACAATGATCCATGAAGATTTGTTTGATATGGGATTTCAAACTGTCAGTGGAATCTATGAAGTAGCATGGTCTAAAATTGGACTTGGGTAAGATCCCTTTATCTTATATAACGGTGTTACCTTTTCAAACCTTGAAGGACAAGGTCTACTGCTAGCCATTTGCCATTAATAGGCTGTTAACTATGCTGTAAATCTGTTTTTCAGATCTAAATCAGTTTGAAGTTTATAGGTTTCATTGCATCATTGGTTTTGTAGGTTGATTAAAATTTATTGCAGACATAAGTTGGTGGATGTGTCGATTAACCATTAACTTGTAGATTCTTGGTGCTGAGAATTGTTGGACAAAACTCCGTTAGTAATAATGTGTAATAGATAGTATTTTTGCTCTTCAGGTTACGCCTTCAAGATATATTCTTCCGATTCCAATAGGAAACTATCCATTCTGCATAATTTAGATAATTATCTGCTCCAGAACTATTTGTTCTTGATTCACTGACATATTGTTGTATTCTTCGTGGTTACTCTGACCAAACTCCAAAAGCTTGGACTAAAGATGGTGGTTTAAGGGTCCATAGCTTCATTGCTTCATACAAGGATTCTGGAATGGTACGCAACTGAGAATCAACACAACAGATGAATGGCGAGTTCTCACCAGGTGTTTTGAGACATGACCATGTAGGAGTACGACAAATTCATCTCCAACAATAGATTGTGCAAGATCGTGAATAAGGTTATGCATTTTGCATTCTGTTACACTACCATCACGATCTTTATTTCACATCTCGGAAGAAAAACATCCACATGAAGTCTTTGAAGAATTCGTTGCCAATGTCCTCAAGCGTTTTTCTTTCTTCCTTAGACTGTGTCAGGCCTTCTGCAGTATCAAGCCTTCTGCAATCAGAGATGGATTAAATTTTCTTTCTTGATTTCATAATTCTTAGGAAATACAGAGCAGTAAGAGAAGCAACATTTCAAATGTGATGGAAAATGGCTGTAACTCAACCTCAAGGCAGGCAGGATCCCGTTTTCACCTTCACATGCATTCCAAATATCACTTTCCTGCACATGTAGCCACAAAGGAATTCCTCCACATTTCTTAACAATTTCCCTCCCAATTGGCTCTAAATTAGCGTAGTCTTCTCCAGGAGCAAAAGCCCTTTGCTTGAACAATAGCCAGCAATCATCATGTGAGAAAATCTTCATATAAAAAGGGGAAGTTGTTCCACTAACAAATTGCAACATTTGAACTCCACGTGGTGACTAAAATTTTGCTTCCTTTAGCACCATCACTAAAAAAAAGTTCAAAAAAAGAAAAAAAAGTCTATTATCGTAGTCAAATATCATCAAGTATACTTCAAGTAAAATATTTCCATCACATTTAACACCTTACAGAAAATTCCGCATAAAACAAAGAAAAAGGAAGTTAATCAGACATAAAATATCAAACCTTTGCCTAACCAGATTTGGCCAAATTCACTAGAGAAGGCACAGACTGTTTATCTCCTGGTCCAAAAACATTGCTAGGACGAAGAGCACATGTCAGAAGACCATCAATAGTGTTAGCAAACAGAACTAGAGCTTTTGCTTGAGCTCTAAGGTCACACATCATATCCTGTCAAAAACAAAAGACCAATGGCATGTTAGCAAACAGAACTGAAGGGCTGTGTAATATTGTAACAAAGATCAAAGGATGATTAGACATGTCAAACGAACATTTTATCAGAGAAACGCAGTAAGCAGAAGACCAATGGCATGTTAGGGATTTATCTCCATTATAAATATCCTCCTTTTTTTCTGTAAACCTTCTTTGTTGTAGTTTTTTCTTTTCTCAACTTCTTGTCCATTTTGCAACAAGGCGTTAGTAAATCAAGAGTTAATAGTACTGGAGCAGATAATTATCAGTGTAATTTATGTAGAATCGTATAGAGGTCCGATCAGAATCAGCAGAAAATCATCCTAAAGGAAGTAACCTAAGGAGTAAACATATTATCTACCAGAATGTTGCAACTACGGGAGTTTGTCCTACATTTCTCAACATTTCTTCTATTGAATCATTCAACAGCTTATCCACCGACTTATACAGATTTCAGAGTGATTCAAATCTTAAAAACACAGACTTATAGCGAAGATGTTAGCCCATCTATTGCACACAGCTAGCACTAGACCTTCTCCTTTCAAGTTTCAAAAGTAACACTGTTTTTATAAGATAAAGGGATCTTATCCAAGTCCATTTTCAGACCATGTTGCTTCATAGATTCCACTGGCAGTTTGAAACCCCATATCGACCAAATCTTCATGGATTATCGTTGCAGCAACAACATATGTGACACTAGACCATACTTCTATTGACTACATTATTGTCATGTCAACTGTTTCATCAGATAGCATCCCATTTACCGCCCTTCGCTTTACATCTAATACACTTCTCGCTATGTCTTCGTCAACAATCAGTGAATGACCACATGCTCAGGCATACCTACAACAGAGACAACTAACAAGCAAGTATCTTCTCCCACACAACAAGCTTCGAAGTTGAGATTGAAGGACATCTATGCCTAAGAAATCAACTTTATTCTATAATCATTCTGATGAACCCCCTCACATTGAACTCCTCATTAACACAAACTTATATCCTCAGTTCAAAAATCTGTGTCACCCTCTCATCATTACAAGCAGTTGAGCTGGAGTGGTTTTTCTCATACCTCCTAATCCAACGATAGGGATAACTGAAAATATTCTAATGACTTTGACCCCACTTCCTCCATTTGATAATACTTGCACTACTACAACTTCTTTAACTCGACCTCTTCCAACAAATCCTGATTCAATTAGAAAAGACATAGTTCGTCTTTTCTCTTCAACATCACACCTTCTTTCAAGTTAAAGTTAAGCCTTTCAGCTGCCAAAAAGTCTAATCTTTTTTCTAATTTCTTTTGGCGTAGGGAACAATTCAAGATCATCAGCTGCATATGGTTTCAATGAAGGAAGGAAATCACTAAGTACCTGCATCAGGACAAAGTTTTTGCTTCTTGCCATCAGAGCATCCAAATCGAACTCATCAAGTAAATCATCAGCATCATAAGCAACTTCTTTAAGCTCACCCAACCATTTTCTCAAGTCTTTTTCCTTCACTCGTCGCTCCTCTGCATCCTCAAGAACTGATTGAATGATGTTTAGTGAATGCCGAAGCTTGTCTATCTCATCCTCAAACCCACATTTGAGAGCTATTTCTTTCAAAAGCTGAGAAGCAACTTTGTGGAAAACTACTTCCGATAAGGGGCATAAAATACTATCTGCCATTTGCAAAGAATGAAGGATCAGTTCGAAGCTCTAGAAATTCCTTCAACCAGCCACCAAAGATACGCTGTTTTGTGAAATGTGTGATCAAATCCTTCAAGATATCCTTGATCATCTTCGAAAGAACTTACAACATCAAATGGAGTTTCAATACAAATATGTAAGGCACAATACCTTGAATCTATCTTCTGCTTCAGATTTTTGACTAAGCAAATGAGATGAGATTCAACGTTTTGAGTAATCGAGACAATTAAAGACGTTGGATATCAAATGGTCAATTAAAAAAACTTATAGAAGAACTGCTTATGAATATGTAGTTTAAAAAAAAAAAAAAAACTGTTCAATTAGAAATATTAAAGAGATTTATAGTATTAATTTACAGATAGAATGTTTTAAAATTAAGAATAAATCAAATCAAATGTATAAAATAACATAACTTATATTTGTGATGTCTCAGCAATTTAGTAATATGAAATGTGAAACATTATATTGTTTTCTGTAATTTAAGTGGGTTTGTGTTGTCTAAGTAAAATTATCAAAGTATAAGACAAATATGGATATACGATGATATTTTGTTTGTTTTAATAATTATTCGAGAGGATATGATGATCATAATCAAAAATAAAATTCAAGTATCGATCCAAAAAATGCACAGAGGTGGCTTCCCAAAGTCTGAAAATGTGAGGAAATGAGTTATCATAGGGTTTGAAGTAGGGATACTATAATGTGCTGGTAATCAGCTTCATGAGTAGCAGAGAGAGGTATTGATGAGAAATCACGTGTCATCCTAGCTAGTGTTGGAGAAGTTGAAAAATTGAGACGCCACCATTGTAGTACATCAAACCCTTCATTTGAAAGACACTTGGGATCTCTCAAATAGCAGTTGAGTTCTAATTATTAAGAGGATGATAACATAGAATTGTTAGTTCCCTTTGCATATTGGTTGAAAATGTTTGTAACATCATTACCGTACATTTCTTTGTAGAAATTTTCTACAATAAAATCCATTACTAAAACCAACTTACGGTAAAGTTGGGAAATATACATTTGCAATTTTATATTTAGGATCAAACAAGTTATCGACCTCTTCCCCCAAATCTATAAACATTTTCCAACTACTATACAATAAAGTTGCCTCATCCCAATCCTCTTTTATATAATTTATGGACTTGAAATCAGGATCTATATCCTTTGGTTCGCAAAATGCTTCTTTACATCCCATTACCCACTCAATCATAGCGACAACCAACACCACTATGGACACTTTTGGAAGTTACTATTTTGCCAATGGACACAACTTTTGAATATGTTAGATTGATTCCCTTAAATTGAAAGAATTTGAATACACTATGTTAAATTAAAAGTATAAATCGCAGTGGTGGGTTACATGAAAGGTTTAAAATTAAAAGAAATGTTAAGTTTATCCTTTAAATTGGTTGATTGAGAAATCAATAATTTCAAAAATGATTACGATTCTATTCATTTGTCAAATCAATATCAATAGATGATAAAGAAAGGTTTAAATGCATTAAATTTGTTAGTTAAACAGAATTGAATAAGAGAGTAGGAGTTATTTACCGACAAAAAGGGTTTATTTACGTTATAAACACCTTAAATTTATTTTTTAAAGCTGTTTTTTAATTATATTTCAAAAGTGTTTATAAGATTATAAATTATTTTTTCATGACTTATAGGAGAAGCTCAAACCATAAGCTCTTTTATAATCATAAATAATTATTAAGTAAATAAATCATAATTGATCACAATATCACCTGGTCATGGCTAAAATATTTGTGTTAAAGAAATTGAAAAACTCTGAAATTGAATTCTATAAAGAAACTGTTTTGTTTGGCATTTGTGTTAAAAAAAGATAATGGACTTATGGTCTGGAAGGTTCATGGATTGAGACATTGATATTACAAT